CTGCTCCTGTGATGCTGCTTGGCCTGCTGTGTTCATCCAGCTCTGCACCTTGTTGTCATGCAATTAACATCAACTGAATACAACATTCTAACACTCCAGAATTCAGTCCCCATCAACTCCAACCCCTTTGCTAACTTCAGAAGATTACTTTGACCAACCAATTATGCCAGTAACGAGATGCTAACTCGTTTTTAGTCATCATGAATGGCAATAGCTGCAAGTCAGGAACAAGGTATCATAATAGGCTAAAATTTAAAGATTTTTTATCATCTAATTTTCACAAGGTGAAGTGTTCTAAAATATCACAGAACAGTCAAAAAATATCGCTCCAGTGATGTGAAATTAAGTCACTTGTGCTGACCCACTAGCTGGTCACAATGGTCCACACTTCCCAATAACCAGGTAATATTTTTAAATAAAGGTGGCATCTACACAAAGGATGGAATGGGTTTCACATTGTGCTGTGCTGTAGGATACAGTAGAGTGTTACACTTATTATTATTAGGATCGACTGGACATTGCAGAAATCACTCCAATATACTGTCATTTACAGCAGAAAGTTGTGGAGAGAAATTACAATTTGATAAACTGTATGATAAAGCAGCATCTTCTGGAAATTACGCTGAGGTACTGTAGGAGAGGTGTATCTTAGTTTATTTTTCTATTCTCCATTTGCAGAAACCTGCTGCTGACAGTAGTCTCGATAGTCTCCCGGTGTAATCTGTTCCACCCATTCTAACTACTGCCAGAAGTCAGAATATTTTTACTGCAAACCATCTGTTCATACTGCACCATTTTTCCACAATTGCTTTACCTATGTTCCATCCAGCAGACCAGACGGTAGTTTCAGATGTGCTTGAGTAGGATCCTGAAGAGGCATAACCTGACTGAGGGAACAGAAAAATGTTAAATACTGTTCAGAGCAGGGCTATGAAAACACTGCTGCCAATGGAGCACACGTTTAGATATCTGATCAGAATTTTAACTCAGGCCAAAGACAACGTCCCAATAATATGAAACAAAGTACAATATACCTGCCTCTCAAAACAAAATTAACTCTTTTCCTGCCACAAAAACATTTCGCAATTCAACCCTGCTTCCACTCAATTGGAAATTTGATGTTTTACTGCCTTAGGATGGACTTAATACTTACTCTACCATGGACAGAATTAATCTCATCCCTGCCTCAAAATAAACAAAAACTTATTCACTTGTGATCATGTGAACCAATACATCCAAGAAATGATGACTGGTGAACACTCAATTGTTCAATGGGAAAGTTTAAGCACCGCTCTTTAAAGGATACTTTTGGGGGTCCTGGATCTAGGGCAACTGTACAGTCCTGATGTGTTTGATGAACTGGAAGCATTTGTGTTGTCTAATGTATTCATTTCCATCACCTCTCTAATCCCAGAGCTTGCTTAAAAAAAAGTTCAGACCCAAGAAAGGCACAACACAAGCACAGCATCATCAACACTTTAAGGCAAGGGCCAGCTGCAATTACACACCGGCTTTTTATTCTCTTCATAGTCCATTCGATTGGCATGAGACTTTTATTAGGGTTATGCTAACTCAAGCTATCATGACTAGCAGCAAGCAGCTGTAGCACAGGCTTCAGAAGTACCAAATGACAACTATACAGTGCAATTAAAGGTAGGAGCAGGATGTGGCGCATAATTCAGACAAACTGACAGAAAACACACACTTACAGAGTGCAGAAAAGGAGATGTGCGTTGGTGGACCTGCTGTCCAATGCTACCATAGTCCTGAGGCCTGGACTGGGCCTCAAACACGCTGCATAGCATGGCAAGAGTCTGAACATCATGTATTGTGCTGTAATGAGTCAGGCTGTGGAAAAAAAAAATAATCACACATATAATTAAAAATGGATCAATAAAGCAGTGCAGGAGATGGAACTGAGCCTCACCCATTCATTAACAGTTTTGAATAATGTTAAATGTAACTACGATAAACAATCCAGGCCACACACTTTCCAGATTAGCGGAAGAAAATCACAAAGATGTAAATGCATTGAAGATGAGCAGTTGCCCATCTAACTTGCCCCTGCACTGAAATCTACAAAATATATAGCAACACCTTACAATGTTGAAGCGTGACGGCTTGACAGAGTTTGTAGTACAAGAATGTAAGAAATAAAGAACATCAGTAGCCTCATCTGCCATTCTAAAAGGTTATGACCAAACCTCTACATTATACTATTTTCCTGCTCTAGCTCTATATTTCTTGATGTTCTTTGTGCCAAAAATCTATCAATACAATTCAAAAAAGTCCTAATCAAAAATACAGAATACTTCAACTATCCAGATTAATTAGAGTCAGAGTCACAGCGTCACAGACCTACTGCACAGTAAAACACACTTCAGCCATTAAGTTTGCATCAGTCAGAAACAAGTGAATTATTCTAATACCATTTTCTAGTGGTGGGACCGTTGTCTTGGCATCTCAACTGAACGTCTAAATACTTCATTGTTATGAGTGTTTCTGCCTCTACTACCCTTACAGGCAGTGATTCCAGATTCCCAACAGCCTCTGGCTGAAAACATTTGTCCTCACATCCACTCTAAACCTCCTGCCCCTTCCCTTAAACTGTGCGATGTGATGATTGAATCCTCCATCAAAGGGATAAGTCTCTTCCTGTCTAACCTAAAAAATGCCCCCATAATTTTATGTATCTCAGTCATGTCCACCCTCAGCTTCCTTTGCTCCAAGTAAAACAACCCTAGTCTATCTAATTTATCTTCATAACTAAAACTCTCTATTCCAGGCAATATCCTGGTAAATCTCCTCCGCACCCTCTACAGTGCCAAACCATCCTTCCTATAATGTTGATTTCAGATTACACACAATATTCTTGCTGTGGCCTAATCAATGCTTCAGGCAGTCACAGCATAACTACCCTGATCTTAGACGCTATGCCTTGTCTGATAAAGGCAAGGACCCATATGCCTTCTTAACTATGTTATCTACCTGTCCCGCTACCTTAAGGGACCAGTGAAATGCACACCAAAGTTCCTCTGATTCTGTATTCCTCAGGATCATCATGTAGTCTCTTGCCTTGTTTGTTCTGCCCAAGTGCATCACCTCACACTTATCCAGATTAAATTCCATTTGCTACTAATCAGCCCATTTATATCCTTTTGTAATCTAACGTTATGCTCCTCAGCATTTGCCACCCTACCAAATTCCATATCATCTGTGAACTTACTGATCAACACTCCTACATTCAAGTCTACATTATTCATACATAGCACAAATAACAACATTGATCCCTGCAGGACAGAGGCTTCCAGTCACAAGAACACCCTCAGACATAACCCTCTGCTTCCTGCCACTAAAGTTCTCGATCCAATTTGCCGACTGTTCTCAGATCCCATGGGCTCTAACCTTCACTATCAGTCTCCCATTTAGAAGTTTATATTAGCCTTGCTGAAGTCCAAGTAGGCTATGTCGAATGCAGTGCCCTCATCTACATACCTGCTCACCTCTTCAAAAAGTTCAGTGAAGGTGGTCAGACAGGACCTCACCATAACAAATTCATGCTAATTTGATCAATGCCCAAACAATTCGGTCCTCAGAACTGCTTCCAATTATTTCCCCACACTTAGGTTAGACTGACTTCCCAGTTTATCCCTTCTTCCCTCCTTGAATAATGGTACTATACGGGCTGTCTCCAGTTCTCTGGAATCTCTCCTGTGGCCAAAGGGAAACTCAAAATTATTTTCAGTGTCCTTGCTTTTTCCTCCAGTGTGTAACTCAACAATCTGGGACATATTTCTCCTGGCACTGGTGATTTATTTACTTTTAACCACCCATTTCAGAACCTCCTCTCTATGCTCATTTCTTTAATTATATCATAGTCCGTCTCCCTGATTTCTAAACCCACATCATCCCTCTCACTAGTGAACGCAAATACAAAAAGTATTTATTTAGAACCCTACCTATGGCAAATTATCAGATTTTTTTTGTGACTTGTACTGAAATACAGCGAAAAGCTTGTTTACAAGTGGTACAGGCAGATCATAGTAAGCAAAGGATGTACAGATCAAAAAAAGACTACGACAGATGCGTACAGGTTACATTGCACAGGGTGCGCGTTAGGCATGATCAACATTAGCAAAATTAGCGTTATTTGAGGCT